TCTAAAGACCTCCAAGTTTGCTAATGGCACGACACTAGATTGGAAAGAAAATTATAAGGAGGATGCAAAGTGGCTTCAGGGGGTTTAAACTAGCTGATTTGACAAGATGATAACACATGGAATATATCATGGAAAAATGTAAAGTTATGCACGGTTCAAAAATGAAATGGAATTTCTTAAATGATGAAAAATTAGGAAGCGTTGATACCCCTGATAAAGTTTACGTGTGGCAAGCAATTAGGGAGCCAAATTTAATGCTAGTCATTACCGTGACTGGATTGGAGTATAGGAATAATGATGTTTTGCTGCAAATTTATAAAGCTTTTGAGAGACTGCACCTGAAGTATTGCATATAGTTTGTCTCCTTTGTCAAGAAAGAATATTTTTGCCACCCAGAGTATTACAATGGCTCACCAACATGACAGGATTGTCCTTGAGAGACAGAGGAGACTAGGGCTATACTCTCAAGAGTTTATAAGAATTAGCCGTGATCTTACTGAAGCATACCCAACTTCTTACAGGCCTCCCCAGGGGTAGGTGCAAGAAGGATGTCTCCCATGATTGAAACGCTTAGAATCAAAGGACAGTCTCAAAAAAAGGGGTGGACCAATTAGGACTGAGGTAAAGTGCTCTTTCCTCATTCAGAGGGTGGTGACCTTCAAATCCTGTCACCAACAGGGCTGTGGAGATTCAAATCGGCAAAATTTCAAGACAATTTGATAGATTTCCCAATATAAAAATCATATTAAGGGATATTATGCTAAAATGGCATGGAAAAAGAACAGCTGTGAGCTATCTGAATGGCAGAACTGGTTTGATGGCTGAATGGCCTACTCCTATTCCTAGTTCCTGTGTCACGCAATAAGCCTCTGGATACATCAACTATAGCAACTTACATGTCAGCTGTGTTCAGAAGTCAAGACTTGGTGAAGACTAGCAATAGATGATCTTTTAATAGCAAAAGCACTTGCTCATGTAGGTGGCTCTGCTTGCTAAGTGTAACAGTAACAGATCCTAGAGATGCTCAATCAGTTGTTTTCTGTTCAACAAATCAGCACACAATTATTTAAGCATTTGATTATATTTTTAAAACCTCAACAAATGGAATTTATTGGAGCAAGAACAAGGTAAATGGTCTTAGGTTGTGATTTGACCATTCCTAAATATTTAAATGGTTAACATTTAGACTCTATTCTATGCAAGAAAGTGAAATTCCAATGGAAAAAAAGAGTTTGTAAAACTATGTATTACACAAAGAGGTACAGGGCATTGCACTTAGAGTCATACAGCACAGAAACAGACCCTTCAGTCCAACCAGTCCATGCCAAACACTTCAGTCAACAAAACAAGCTATACAGATGAAAAGTCTACACTACAGTTACTGAGGAGAAAACATTGAGCAACTGACCGAAGCTGCAGTTTAAAACATAAGCTGGGCCATGAAAAGTGAATTGTTTGCATTATTAACTTTGAAGTCTAAAATGGAGAATATTGTTATGATTTTCCCTCAAGGCCTTAGGCAATCTGAAGGAACATGCACAAATGCATAATTGAGCCATGCATAAAATGCAATGCACCATTTTCACTCACTCCTATTATAATGATGTCCTGATTGAACTGTACATATAAAATATAGCAAAGAATCAGTAATTATCCTCACAAAGGTCATTTCAAAATTAACCCAAAATTAGTCATACCATGAGTTTTGCTACAAGTGCCCAGTCTCCATTATAACCAGCTCAGTTTTCCTTCTCTTCTGCTCTCTTCCAAGCACATGGCTTACCACCAACGTGTAAAGTGACTTAAATTATGCAAAAAAATTTGAATTTCAGACAACTTTCAATCTCCATTTAAAGCAACTGTTGTGCAGAAGTTAAGAAACAGACATTATTTTAATAGATATTCAGTAGAGGCAGGAAGAGGGGAAAAAAGAAAACTCTCGCATCAAGTTTTAAGTAACCAGAATAAAGCTCAAGAAAGAAACGCAGACCCTTAAAATATATACTACAGCCTTGCAAGTGGATTCAAATTAGCATCTTCTCTGAGCAGATGAGGTACACACAGCCACATAGACCAAAGATCTTCAGTTCAACTCCAGGTTTGTGCTCAGGTAACTGATCAAAGGAGGTAGCACAAAGTGTCATGACCAAGTTGAAGCAAGAACGAACGCTTCATAATTTTCTCTCTTCGCTAAAAGGGAAATAGCCTACTGACATTGATTTGGCTCACACAAAATGGCCTCTGACAATATTCTCAAACATTGAAGGCACCCATGTAAATTTCAGGTATACAACATTGAAGTCAGAAGCAGCAAAAGTAGCCATTGGATTGTCCATCCTTTAACTAATGCTCAAAACATGAAGTGGCTAAGTACTATTACTTATTAGCGTGCCTGTGACATGCTCATTCTTTTGTTGCACAATTGCAGTGTTAAGTGACACTCATGAAAAACAGCTTTGATAGCTGATAAACAACGCTGAAATGAAAAATTAACTTCAATATAGTGATCTGTAAATTTGAGTTTAAAAAAAAAAATAGCCGGATGGGCCAAATCAATTTCAGGGTTGAAGTTGCAGACTTGCTTGTCGAGCCGGTGTGTTTGACTGCAGACGTTTCGTCACCCTACTAGGTAACAATGTTAGTGCGCCTCCAGCGAAGCGTTGGCATTCTGTCCTGCTTGTTATTTACGTGTCTCAGTTTGCTGGGATAGTTGGCATCATTTCGGGTTCTGTTTTTCAGTGGTTTGTACACTGGGTCCAGTTCAATGTGTTTGTGGATGGAGTTCTGGTTGGAATACCAGGCCTCCAGGAATTCCCTGGCATGTCTCTGTTTGGCCTGTGCTATTATGGATATGTTGTCCCAGTCAAATTTGTGTACTTCTTTGTCCGTGTGTACTGAGACCAGTGAGAACTGGTCGTGTCTCTTGTGGCTAGTTGGTGTTTGTGTATCCTTATTGTCAGGTTTTCTTCCAGTCTGGCCTACATAATGTTTCTCACAGTTCTTGCATGGTATTTTGCATATTACATTAAATTTTATTGGTTGTGGGTATGGGATCCTTTACGTTTGTCAGTAGCTGTCGTGGGGTGGTTGTTGGTTTATGGGCTACCCTGATACCTAGAGGCCTGAGTAGTCTCGTGGTCATCTCTGATAATGTCTCTGATGTACGGTAGGAAGGCTGTGTCTGGCCGTGTTGTGTCTTTTTGTCGTGGTCTGTCGCAGAGGTGTTGACGGATTGTACTTTTTGGGCATGCATTCCTTTTAAAAACTCCCACATAATTGCTCCTGTTCTGCTTTGTGCAGTTCCGGGTTGCTGCAGTGTGTTGTGGCTCATTTGAATAATCAGCAAGACAAACTACCAAATTAAAAAACCACATTTCTATGGACTCACTAAGGTACACAAGCCAGGGATCCCCCTCAGACCTACTGTCTCACTACCAGGTACGCCAACATATAGACTAGCCAAAGAACCACACAGGAAATTGAAATATTTGGTAGACAACACTACCCTATCCACTCCTCCCAAGAATTCCTTATCATCAAGAAACCGGAATAGAAGAGGACAAGATAATGATATCCTTCGACGTAACAGCACCATTTACATCCATAAGCATCGACTTAGTCAAAAAGACAATTGCCACACTGCTGGACAAATCAAGAGGGCAGACACGCCATGACACCAACAGCATCAACAAGGACAACACCCTGAAACTCCCAGATCTGTGCCTCACAACCCACTCCACCTTCAACGACCATATATTCAATCAAATCAAAGGTATACCAATGGGATCCCTGATATCAGGATTGATAACAAAAGCAGTAATGCAAAGATTAGAATAGACAGCGCTCCCCACTATCCAACCAAACTCTGGGTCTGCTATGTAGATGACACCTTTGTGATCATCAAACGCACAGACTAGAAGAAACCCACCTGACACAAACGACATTCTCACCAGAATAAAATTCACAAAAAGAAGAAGAAAGCAGTAACTGACTACCCTTCCTAGACGTAATGGTGGAATGCAAGAACAACAGGGAACTCCACACCAGTGTATGCAGAAAGACCACCCATACTTAAATAACACCAGCAACCACCCCAACACCCATAAACAGAGCTGCATCAGGAACATTACTCAAACAATGTCACAACACACTGCAGCAACCCGGAACTGTGCAAGGCAGAACAGGAGCACTTATACAGAGGTTTTAAAAGGACTGGATACCCAAAAAGCACAATCCGCCATTACCTCCACGACAGACCACAACACGGCCAGCCACACTAGTCACCTACCATATATCAGAGACATACATCAGAGTACAAAACTACTCAGACTCACAGGTATCAGGGTAGCCCACAAACCAACAACCACCCTACGGCAGCTCCTGACGAACGTAAAGGATCCCATACCCAAAACAATAAAATTAAATGTAACATACAAAATACCATGCAAGGAATGTGAGAAACATTACATAGGTCAAACTGGAAGAAAACCTGACATTAATGATATACAAACACCAACTAGCAACCAAAAGACACAACCAAATTTCACTGGTCTCAGTACACATGGGTGAAGGAGGACACACATTTGACTGGGACAACACATCCAAAAAAGCACAAGCCAAACAAAGAAATGCCAGGGAATTCCTGGACACCTGGCATTCCAACTGGAACTCCATCAACAAACACATTGTTTTGTATATCAGGTCCAGTTCACTGAAAAACAGAACTGGAAGTAATGCCAACTGCCCCAGCAAACCGAGGCATACAAATAACAAACAGGACAGAACATCGACACTTAACTGGAGGCGCACTGATGATGTTACCTAGCAGGGTGACGAAACATCTGCAATCAAACATACCAGCTTGCTGAGCAAGTCTACAATCTCATCCGCAACCTAAGCTACAAATCTTCTCAAAAACTTTTAATTTCAGGTTCTTAATAAACTTTTATTTTACTATACATGTTCAACATATTTCAATAAGTTGATTTTTTTATACTTACCAGATCCAATTTTTATGAGACCATTATGCTGGATGAATATGGTGTCACAAGTCAGGTTTCCATGGATTATTGGAGGATCACAAGAGTGGAGGTAGCTGGTAAATAAAACAGTATTCAATAAACTGAGCAAATCGGCAGTTACTTCAGACATGCAGAGAATTTTACTAAATTAAAGTTTTACTCAACAGAGAGATAGCATTCATACAATTAAAGACAAAATTATACATTTAGCTGAATGGGGCAAAGCTGTAGAGTACTTATCATTTTAAACCATTTAAATGCATTTTAAAATATTTCCATTTTCACTAATTTGGTGCTTCTCTGCCATCATGTGGTTTAACAAGATCACCAACCAAGCATCTCGCCACTTCCAAACTGCAACTAATACTCACAACTGCCTCTTGCAAGGAAAACCTGAGGACTACCCTACTATAATTTAGTAATTTTCACACCTTCTTGGAAGTACCACAAGCAGTCTCCAGTCAGCAACTCACTCCATGCGCATCAAGTCAAAATCTGAATGAAAAAAAAACTTGTTTCTGTCTTGTGCTGAATAACAGCACAATCATATTGCCGACGATCCCCAAATTACACTGTATGTCAAGTACAAAATCAGTTAATTCTGGATTGGTACATTGGAAAGAAACTAGTCAACCAAACTATTCAAGCTGAATAGGCAGAAATGGATTTTGCAGTCCCTAATTACTTCTAGACGCATCAAATGATTTTTGTCCTAACAGGTGGACAATGTTTCCAACTTACATGTGGTGGGCAATCAAAAATATTACAAGTTTCAAAACTGCACATTGTTTCTGGAAGCATTTAAAAGAATTATCTATTGGGTTGATTACATAGTATTGAAGCACAAATCACAAAGTCAAAACAAAATCAAAAAGGAAGACAGCCTGAAAACATCATCCAAGGTTATTAAAACTATACCTCCTGGAATCTTAAGCTCATTCTACTTGGGTAGAAGGAAAATCATGAAAGGGGGAAATATGCAACGAAACAGAACGCTGACAGTAGGTGGCAGGCTGTTCGACAGAAAGAAAAGAATTATTTAAACAAATTAGGTAATGAAGAGATTAGGGGTTGCTTCCATTCTGGTTTTGATCCATGAATACACAGCACATATAAATGGGAAAATATGGATAAAATTTTTGAAGCTTTATTTAGATGGGTGGAATCTGCCAGGAACACCAACGAAATATTTGGTTAATACTCCTTCAGAAGTTGTGCATTTCCACTAATTTGACTATTGCACAACTCCCCTTCCACTAATGTGAAATAAGAAAACCAATATTTTGGGACAGATTCTTTCTCAAAGGATCAATAACCCCCACATAACCAACTGCATGTCACAGAAAAGACTTCATTTCTAATGGCAGTTTTCAAAGGACAAGAGACACATTGGCCACCATCTGGTCCTCTGCAACCTGTTGTTCTATGAAGCTTGGGTTTTCAATTATCTCTTAGCTAAATTTGTTTTTACTCTTCTTGGATGGATTCCATATGGATCTAGTTTTTAATCAACTATTAAGTTGTCCAGTTTCTCAATGGTCATTTAAATGGTTAACTATTTTCCACAGCTTCATTTATGAATATCATAATATATAATCTAATATGACAGCAAAACTCTGCTTTATATTCGCCAAGTTCAAATAGGCTCACTATCCTCAACTCCACTTGAAGGTCCTGCATCTTCATTCTTAAAATACAAAACTTCAGACTTTGTCATTAATAATTTTTAAAAGCCTGAAATTCAATACAGAACTTTCATTTTGAAAGATTTTATCATGACCTCAATAATGCAATCATGTATTTTTCATAGCATTTGAACATAGAGACAAATCTTTCATTTTTTTAAGCTTTTTCACCTAATAAGAATGTCACTGATGATGAGAACATTTTGTGCTCAACCCTAAATCCCCTTGAAGATGCTGTAGTGTACAACCTTCGTAAACCATCACAGTTCATGTGGTGCGCATACATCTACAGTGCTGTTAAGTAGTTCAGGTTCAGCAACAGATAAGGAATAGCAATATTGCTTCAAGTCAGGATGTTAGGTGTCTTGAAGGGGAACTGACAGGTAGTGATATTTCCATGGGTCTGCTGCATTTGTCCTTCTTCAGTGGTTGATGGTGCAGGTTGGGAAGATGTTGAACTTGGAAAGTGTTGCTGAAGTAATGTCTGGAAGGTGCTTGCATATAGTGCACACGGCTGCCCGTGTGGAGGGAGTGAATGTTTAAGATGGTGGACGAGTGCTGGTCAAGTGTCCTGGGCAGCTTTGTCCTAGGAGGCACTGGGCTTCCTGATTATTATTGGAGCTGCACTCATCCAGTCAAGCGGATAGCATTCCATCACACTTCAACTTGTGCCTTGTAAATGGTGGAGAGGCTTTTGGGAGTCAGAAGGTGAGTTACAAATTACAAGATTCCCATCCTCTGACCTACTTTTGCAATTGTGTAATCATTAGTTGGCCAGTTCAGTATCTGGGCCACAGCAAACATGGGGTGCTGGTAAGATGAGTCACTGTACCATAGAATCAGAATCCCTACAGTGCAGAAGCAGGCCATTCAGCCCATGAAGTCCACATCAACCCCCAAAAGAGCATCCCACCCAGATCCACCTCCCCTAACCCTATCCCTGCAACCCTGCATATTCCATGGGAAAACCATCTAACCTACACATCCTTGGACACTAAGGGCAATTTAGCACGGCCAAACCACCCAACTAACTCATCCTTAGATTGCTGGGGGAAACCCACAAAGACACAGGGAGAATGTGCAAACTTCATACAGACAGTTGCCAGAGGGTGGAATCAAACCCAAGTCCCTGCCACCGAGGCAGCAGTGCTAATCACTGAACCCCTGTAATACCCTTAAGGTCATAAGCTGGAGATCTTCTTGCTGCAGTTTAATTAGGGAGAAAATTGAAGCTTCAAGTAGCTGGTGAAATTATATTGGAAATAATTATTAATAAAAAGAATGACAGTAAATATTAAGGCAGCAATCAAACGTTGTCACAGCAAAGATCGCTTTAGGTTCAGAATTCGAAATTTGAAGAGTAGTATGCAGGAGCTACTTTTATTCTCAAGTCCACCTGCAAACTTCCACTAGATTCATGCATAATAGCATTAACATCCATGGGGATAAGAGGGTTTCTAAATCAATACCTAGCCTGCAATAAGTTCTGTACATTATTATAAAATCATTGCTCCTAAGGTTGAGGTGGATGGGAAAACAGGGATCCAAACTTAAACAAACTAGGCCATAATTTACACTTCAAATCATAGGTGGGATGCAAAGAAGGGTCTCGACCCAAAACGTCAGCTTTCCTGCTCCTCTGATACTGCTTGGCCTGCTGTGTTCATCCAGCTCTACGCCTTGTTATCCCTGGTTATGTTTGGAGGTTACGTGGAACAATCCCTCTTCCGTAGCTACACTGGCCCTAAGCCCCACCTCTTCCTCCATTACATTGATGACTGTTTCGGCGCCGCCTCGTGCTCCCACGAGGAGCTCGAACAGTTCATCCACTTCAACACCTTCCACCCCAACTTAAGTTCACCTGGACCATCTCTAATACCTCTCTGCCTCCATCTCTGGCATCCACCTGGAAACTGATATCCATTTCAAGCACACCAACTCCCACAGCTACCTAGAGTACACCTCCTCCCACCCACCTTCCTGCAAAAATGCCATCCCCTATTCCCAATTCCTTCACCTCCACCGCATCTGCTCCCAGGATGAGACATTCTGCTCCCGAACATCTCAGATGTCCTCGTTTTTCAAGGACCGCAACGTCCCCCCGTCAGTGGTAGAGAACGCCCTTGATCGTGTCTCCTGCATTTCCCGCAACTCATCCCTCACACCCCCTCCCCGCAATAACAACCAAAACAGAATCCCCCTCGTCCTCACGTACCACCCCACCAACCTCCGGATCCAACGCATCATCCTCCGACACTTCCACCATCTGCAATCCGACCCCACCACCAAAGACATTTTTCCCTCCCCACCCTTATCTGCTTTCCGGAGGAACCACTCTCTCCGGGACTCCCTTCTCCGTTCCACACTCCCCTCCAGCCCCACCACACCTGGCACTTTTCCCTGCAACTGCAGGAAGTGCTACACCTGCCCCTACACCTCCCCCCTCACCCCCATCCCAGGCCTCAAGAAGATCTTCCACATCAAGCAGATGTTCACCTGCACATCTGCTAATGTGGTATACTGTATCCACTGTTCCCGTTGTGGCCTCCTCTACATCGGGGAAACCAAGTGGAGGCTTGGGGACCGCTTTGTGGAACACCTACGCTCGGTTCGCACTAAACAACTGCACCTCGCAGTCGCGAACCATTTCAACTCCCCCTCCCATTCCGCAGACGACATGGCCATCCTGGGCCTCCTGCAGTGCCACAACGATGCTACCCGAAGGTTGCAGGAACAGCACCTCATATTATTTCGCTTGGGAACCCTGCAGCCCAATGGAATCAATGTGGACTTCACAAGCTTCAAAATCTCCCCTCCTCCAACCACATCCCAAAACCAGCCCAGCTTGTCCCCTCCTCCCACCTCAAACCCTACGCCCATCTCCTACCTACCAGCCTCATCCCACCCCCTTGA